ATACAAACATTTCCGAGTGTGTGGGTGTCAATCTGAAGGTGGAGAGGATTCGGAAAGAGTTGGATGAGGCTAATGAGGATTTCGATGGTACGGCAGCTCAGAAAATTCACTCTGATCGTTGTGATAAAAAAAAAGCCTCCCGAATGTGTTGGTGAGGAAAACAGACTTAACACGGAGGCCAACATCAACGATAATGGGTATGTCCTCATTCACATAAATACAGTAGTAAATACTATATGTTAATCTGCAGTTGGAGATTCACCTCAAACTGTGCCGGTCAAACTCTCTGCTCTGGGCAGAGAGGTTCCACAGACGAGGCTATGTCGAAGGGCAGAGTCTCATCTCGATAAACAGCTATCCGAACCCATTTTATACAGGGTGTACGGGGAATTACTACGGACTCTGGTAACCCACAAAAAATTCGGCCTTGTGCCATATCTGACGGCGTGGGGGCAGTTGGTAGATATCCTGCAGTTGGAGATTCATGGTGGAATTCACTTGTCTCACTTCGAGCAGTTGACTACGTCTTCTACGCGCCGCTGGCGAATCTTATATGCGTTGTTCTTGTCCTCAGTATTATCGTTCATTACCAACTTTCATGTGATTATTCTATTCAGTAACCTTTCCTAAGTTGCAACAAATATCTAACCCGTAAGGATAATCTATGTAGGTCTTTTTAATATAAGTTATTAAAAAGGTATATCCATAAAGAGAGCTCAATGTATAGTATACAGAGCAATATGATATCGTTTGTAATTTCGTTCTGATGAGACAAGTATTAAAAACTTACTTGCTGAAATAAATTATATAATTGAGTTTTCGATGATGCGTTAAGTTTTTTCCTTTGAAATATATATATATATATATATATATATATATATATACTTATATATATATATATATATATATATATATATATATATATATATATGTATGTATATATATATATATTACATGAATCATTTATACAAAAAACAGATATAGAAGTTACTGATATAAATGGCGAGAATACATTTTCGCAAACAAATTTAATAAAGTACATTAACCCCGAACCTGTAGATGAATGTTATGATCCCTGTTTATAAATTCCAGTTGCATAAGGTCTTCTTTTATTTTTTTACAAGGTTTCATCTGTGCATACAGACATCATCAGGTATGGAAATAGATTTGTTTTTGTTTTTTACTTCCGGTACTAACAGGACAACGAAAATATAGATGTAATCCGAAATATGTTTTTAGAAATGTGTTATTGTTAATTGTAAGAATTTTTTTTTTGGAGCGTGCGGTCGCAACGTTGAGGTAGAATTTTTAAATTTTAAGATTGTGCGTTTTTGTCCTAATATGGTAATAGGCGAATTCTTTTGTACTGGTAGGTTTTTCAGTCAATGTAGCATGAACTAAATTGTTCAATAAATACAGGAATGTCACAGTTATTATCCGAAAGTTGCACGTTGGATCAGTCATTTTAATATCAAGTATGTTGTGCAGTTCAATTTACATTATATGAATCATTCATACAAAAACCATAGAAGTTAATGATGTAAAGTGAACTGCACTATATTTGATATATATATATATATATATATATATATATATATATATATATATATATATATATATATTCGAAGATGTTTGGTTGAATAATATCGACAAGTTCTGTCGATCTAATTCTTTATTAACTTTTGCAAATTTCTGAATTAGTTCTTTTACATAATCGGTAAATTTACGAAAGTTCATTTTTATTTTATTTTTCCCCGAGGTCTTTCGAGTGTTAACACATTCGTTTTCAACGATTGTAATTGCAAGGAATGTAGCAACATTCTAAAGTACTCGGGATAAATAAAATAAAATAGAAATAAAAATGGTCTTTGGTAAATCAACCGCTTATATAAAACAAGTAATTTGGAAATTTAAGAAAGTTAATAAAAATTGGATAGAGAGAACTTATTGATATTATTCAACCAAACATGACTGAAAGAATTCTTGCTGACGAAACACACATTACATATATATATATATATATATATATATATATATATATATATATATATATATATATATATATATGAAATTGTCGCACACACAAAAGCAAACAAATATATATTATCATCTGCATCCTGTATAAACAAACTAGTATTATAATACACATACACACATGAATTATACGCACGAACACTGTTTGACAAAACACATGCAGGTGAGGTTTATTCATTATCTTTCCCTACCTATTTACCTCATATAATTAACAGACTGATCTCTCTTTCTCGCTATATATATATATATATATATATATATATATATATATATATATATATATATATATAAAATAATGTTTTTAATGTCGTTTTTGACCTTAAAAATACGTCAAAAACGACATTATTACGTCATTATTTTTGCACCAACCTAATATATATATATATATATATATATATATATATATATATATATATAATAATGACTTAGAAAAATTAAGTGAAAATTATAATATATTACGAAACATGCAGTGCTTAGAAATTTGCAATAATGAAAATAAATTGGTTCTAAATTTAAACATCATCACATCTCTAACGAGACTCTAACGAGACTCTAACGTGTTAAGAATTTTAAATATGAAAGTTGCAAGTTAGAATTAGCGTCCGTTCGACCAGAAAGCGTATGACTATGATATCTGATAATAAGTTCAATAGACTTATCAAAAATTTGGCCCGGATACGAAACTCTTGAATCGGCTCAGTAGATCAGTGACCTGAACTTTAAAAAAAAAATTGAATAGATATATAAATATGGTTGTTATGAATAATCAAGAGTAGTCTCCCCTTGTTTTGTTACTCTCCTCTTTGAGAGCTATTTTATTTACTGGGACTATAAAAGGACACTACACGCGAACCTTGTATTTTTAGTTGAATAAAGATTTCCTACACCCGCGTATTTTTGTCATTACACTGAGCTTCGATGAAATAATTATGCCGGCTCTTTAATTACAACTTATTAATAGAGGAATAACACAGGAACGTCAAAATTAATTCGATTTCCGATATTGTTCTCTATATAATTCTGATATTTAATTGTGTTAATAAACTTTCATTTGTGATAATAGTAGCTCTGATCAAAATTCGAACTCGTTTCATTAATTATATTTTTTGACTCGCATGCAACTGCAGTTCGTGGAATAAATAAATAACCTTAATACAAAATACACCAAAATGTAAACTGAAAAAAAAAATGTAAAATATATTTATGCTTTTGGTTTTAACATCCTTTGGGCAAGCCACAAAGAAAGAAAATATAAAATTACAAAACAGTATTAAATCTGCGAAAGGTCGATCGAATTTTATAAAACTTAAACGTTGATTTTGTTCAGCATATAACAAAATGCACTTACCTGGATCATGAAGGAAAATAATGATGAAAATCAATTGCCAATAACTCAGCCTCAGGGGAAAACCACATGAGGAAAAGAAAAGAAAATATTATTTTCGTTAAAGAGAGTTTAGAGTAAAGTGAGTTAAATGTCATAGTAGTGAGGAAGAAAAAAAGAATCAAGTTGCTAAAAAAAAAAAAAGACCCAAAAACAAAAAACAAACGCTCAGGCATATGTCTGTATAAAGAAAATAGAATATATAATCAGTTAAAAAAAAATGTATAATATTAATAAAAAAATTATTTCGACACCAGGACACATTTACGATGCATCTTGCTACAGAGAATTAGAATATTCAGGCCGGTAGACGATAATAATTAGATATACTGTTTAATAAATATACGGAGCGTCTACTCAAATACGAGAACCCCTGAAAAAAAAAAAACAAACATTTAAAGTGATAAAAATCTGCTGGATTAATAAAAAACCCATTCTAAAATTATCTCAGGAAGTTTGAGAGAAAAAGGAAACAAAATGGACACTTACACTTAGAATTAGACAATTGAATTTTCTAGGTCACATAGCCAAGAAATGGGGCTTAGAGAGTTTGAAATTCTCAGGACATCCTGGAAATCAGCGAATAACCTATCGAAGGAGCTTGTGCAAATGGTAAGCAGAACAGGCAAGAAGACCAACCCAAGGGTGGGAGGAGAAGAGGGGGGTGAATACCTTTCTCAAGAGTATTTGTGGATAAGTGAATATAACGAACTCGACTGGAATTTGAACTTGGCTCCCCGATTAACAATTGCGAGTTATTATACACTAGCAGCATGGCCCGGCGTTGCCCGAGCTTGATTCAAAAATCGTACGACTCATACAGCAATCGCTATCACTTGACTTAAAATATTTTTGCCCTTCCTTGCCTTTAAAGGAGTGCCCTTTTCCGTGCTGATGTTGCCTTACTTCTTGCCTATCTCACACTGCGAATTTTTTCTATACTAAACATTAAATCTGTTACGAAAAAAGAACTAAACAAAATGAACACAAAACGATCAGCTTTAAAAAAGGACTCGTAACTGGAAAAACCGAATGAAAAAAGAATGTTAACAATAAATACATTTTCACATCCAACCCAGTTCTGCAGAATCAGGATCAACGTTGAGTTTAAGCAAGCGAATGGTCCAATTGGAGTAAAGTGCCATGCAGATTTAAATTTTTCCCAATTGTGACAAATGCAGCTATCGATTTTTTTGCATGCTAGTTAACATTCGTATCAGTCAGCTGCTGGCTCTCACGCTGGCCAATAGAATCTTTCTGCCTATTCGTGGCAGCCAGCTATTGGCTCTCACTCTGGCCAGTACAAAATGGCCGCAAACTATATGAAAACTGGCGTAGAAGCATGAAAAAATCGATTATTTCCACTATTGCTGGGAATTGGGAAATGCAAAGTGGGTCTTGGACTTTCCGCTAACTTGGAGCATGTGCATGTAAATTTTGGTGCAAATCCGTCGAAAATTGCGGCATCTGTTACATTCACACACACACACACACACACACACACACACACACACACACACACACACACACACACATCACATCCTGCCTTTTATCGATAGAGATTATATCACGCATATCCAAGATTACAACCCCTGACATTCCCAAACGGTAAGCCATGTAGTTACTTATCAAGCTCGACGTTTTTTAATTTCGGCGATCGTACGGGAACCCGTGTTTCAGTGTGATATGGCCGTAAGCCAACCAGTATAAAGAACGCATGATTATGTGATCTTGTCCTATAGTAAACCAAGTTTATTTATCAACAGCCTCAGCTTAATCATGCTGCAACGGGTTTTGACAGTATGGCACCAGATAATGAAATCCCTTTCTAAGTCGTGTATTCCAGGTCCTTATTGTTGAAATCTGCCTCTAAATACAAGACTGGAACTAAATAAACTCTAAAGGAATTTTCAGTCCAACGAAACAAATCCTTGGAGATCCGAGGAGCAAAATAGATTTTGAAAATTATCGTTGCATTAACGAAGTCCGTGGTTCTATGGACGAAATTGAGTCGATTCGCATTCTAAAGAACGTTCAAGGTTACTGAAATGTGATCCTGAAATCCATAAGAATTAGTCCGGCGTTGGAGAAAAACTCTGTTTATTTGGAAATCGAAATATTGATTTACACGGATTTTGCTAAGATGGAAGCTCCGACTCTAATTTGATCAGACAACGTAGTAACACCTGAGGATTCATTTTACACGATATAAAATGAATTTCAGTATTAGAATATGACAGATATATACACGCTGGCGCTAGCACACACACACGCGCACACACACACACACACACACACACATATCATATTATTATTATTATTTCCTTGGGTTTCTGTTGTATACATTTCCTTCCGGGTCTCAACCAGAGATCTAAGATCATAAATGATCATTTTTATAAAAAAAAAAAAACAACCTAAGAACATACACATTTCACATAGATAAAGTTCTTCGTAATGTTTGAGCTGTATTTGTGAGTAGTATTTTTTTTTGTATTTCTTTAAAGCATGGGCTACCAGGAATCCCCTCAATAAGTCTATCGGAACCTTTTCAAATCAATCCGAGGGCTCCAACTACAAATAGAATTATTAATGTCCTCATGTGCCACATTTTTGAGATTTCCTCTTCAAGAGCATTGTATTTTGATAGTTTTTTTTTAAGATCTTCAAAGATACATTACAATCTGCAGGGACTGATATTATTATTATTATTATTATTATTATTATTATTATTATTTCCTTTGATTTTTGTTGTGTACACATTATCTTCTAGGTCCCAACCAGAGACCTAAGATCAGAAGATCACACATATTTCAAGGTCCTTGTATTTTGACAGCTTTTTGAATATCTTCAAAGATACATTTCAGTCAGCAGGGCCTGCCATATCAATAAGGAGACACTGTTTTTGTTTGTGGTCTTTAATAACAATATCTGGGCGGTTGGATTTGATTGTTCTGTCAGTGTGTATTGTCCCGTAGAATTGTAACAGGTCCTATCTCCGTGACCGAGTCTGGGTTGTTGTTATTATTATTATTATTATTATTTCTGCTATGGACACTACCTACCAAGTCTGCGGAAAGACCTAAGGCAGGTCGTGGTGTGTTGTTATGGCCACATTTCATGTTAATTTTTTTTTTTTTTTTTTTTTTTTATCACCGATGAAGTTGCTAGCGTTACATAGACAAAGTTCTCCTTAGTGTGTGTGCTGTACTTAATAAGACAATTTTCTGTATGTCTCTTAAGCTGGGGTTTCAGGATTCTTTCAATGTGTTGTTTTGTTCCATTTTTATAATTCCAAGTGCACCTATTACCACTGGTATTATTCTTGTTTTCAATTTCCACATTTTTTCTATTTCAATTTCCAGGTCTTTGTATTTTGATAGTTTTTCAAATTCCTTGGTTGCTATGTTACAATCCGCTGGACAAGCCATATCAATTAGTAGGCAAGTTTTTTCTTTCTGGTTTTTGACAATGTCCGGCCTATTTGCTTCAATTTTTCTGTCTGTGTGGATGGTATAATCCCATAGAATGGTGACATCTTCTATTTCTGTAACCGGCGCTGGCCGATGTTCATACTTGTGTTTGCTTACATTTTTCCAAAGTGTTTGCACATTGTCCAGTGTAAGTATTGCCCCACTCTATCGTGACGATTTTTATATTCATTTGGGGCAAGTATAGAACATCCTGAGATTAGATGGTCTATTGTTTCTTGGTATTTGTCACAGAACCTGCATTTTGGATCCACATTATTATGTATGATATTTGCCTGAAAATTCTAGTGAAAAGACTCTGGTCTTGCGCTGCAAGAATAAAGCCTTCAGTTTCAGACTTTAATCCAGATGCTCGTAACCATCGATGAGTATTAACTTTATCAACATTGGGTTTATTTGCACGTTCTGGATATTGGCCATGCAGAGGTTTGTCTTGCCAGCGTTGTTTCATCTGTTCAAGGGCTTTATCCTTGGCTTTTCTTTTTCATATCTTTTGCTGCAATAGTTGGTTCTTGGCTTCTGTTTTGATTTACTACAGAATCTACTAAATGTAAATGTTGTTTGTATTTACTGCCTTCTTTTATTATTGAATATTTTTTTCTTTCTGTTTTCATGTTGTTTCACTAATTTTATCATCCAGTCATTTGTTGTTTCCATGTAAGTTAGTAAGCCAATAGTTGTTGTCTTGTATGACAATTCTAGCTGAATAAGACCTCTTCCACCTTCTTTACGGGGTATGTATAGACGGTCTACATCAGCCTTTGGATGATGCATCTTATACTTAGAAAGAAGCTTTCTTTTTTAGAATCCATTTGTCTGATGTCATTTAGAGTCCAGTTCAAGATGTTGAAACTATATTGGACCACTGGGATGGCAAGGTTATTAATGGCCATAATTCTGTTCTGAGAATTCAATTCAGTTTTTAATACCAGTCGTACCCTTCTATAGTACTCTTTACGCACTATTTCTTTTCATTTTCTTATGGTGAATTCCTTCACTCTCATTTACACCTAGGTACTTATAAGCTTCTCCTTGTTCTAAATCTTTTATTGTTACAGCAGGGTCTAAACTAATAGAGGAAGTTTGTTGTAGCGATCCTCGTAAAACTGTAGCTTTAGCACATTTATCCAAATTGAATTTCATTCCAATGTCTTCACTGAAGCATTTTACAGTTTGCAGAAGACCTTCCAGCTCATTGTCATTCCTAGCATACAATTTTAAGTCATCCATGTAAAATAGATGGTTTATTTTCTTTTGAGCTATTTTGTAACCGCATTCTGTCTTGTTAAGTTGGCTGGTTAATGCTATAAGTGATATGCAAAATAATAAAGGAGACAAAGAGTCACCTTGAAATATTCCTCTATTGATGTTTATTTCGCCAGACTTATAGGTTCCATTTTTATGATTGAGGTAAAGTCTAGTTTTCCATATCGACATACATTGTTTGATGAAATTGATGATAACGGGTGATACCTTGTACATACTTAAAGACTTTAAGATCCAGGAATGTGGTACACTATCGAATGCTTTACGATAATCTATCCAGGCAATACTAAGATTTTTTTTTCCACGGAAGCAGTTTTCCAGGATCATCCTATTAATAAGTAATTGGTCTTTACATCCGTAGCAGCCTCGTTTGCACCCTTTTTTGTTCAAGTGGTAGTATGTCATTTCTTTCCAAGAAGAAATATGTCTGTTTTGTTAAAATAGATGTTAACAGTTTGTATGTTGTTGGAAGACATGTTTATTATTATTATTATTATTATTATTATTATTATTATTATTATTTCCTTTGATTTGAAGAGTAAGCGTTCTCAAAGCAAATTTGTGGCTTTTACAACACAAAAGCAAGAGAATCACTTGTAACACGTCAGGAAAATAACTCACGAACGCCGTAGCCAAACTGCCTGAATTTTTTTTTCCTCCCGAGTCGACAACACCAACTGCTTTTATCGGCAGAACCTATTTTTTCCATTCGTCGACAGCCGGGATAGGATGCTCCGTAATTTGCATATTAATACACTCTTATAGCGACTCCTGCGACGAACTTGTTTCTTTTTCGCTTGGGTTGACGAGGTAAGTCGCTATAAGAGTTTTGCTGACTACTTTTCTTTTTGGCAATCCCTCCCCGGCAGATCGCACACAAAACACGAACTTTTTTCCGGGGTACGTGATTATCTCGTTCACTACATGATTTTTGTTGTGTACACATTACCTTCCAGGTCCCAACCAGAGACCTAAGATAAGAAATGGCTTAATGACATTTTCCACCGATCACATTTGTGAGAGAAAAAAAATAGAAACAAAAAACTAAGATCACACATATTTCACATAAAGCTCTTCGTAATGTGTGAACTGTACTTGTGAGTCCATTTCTTTGTATTTCTTTAAGGCAAGGACAAAAAGAATCTCTTCAATGAATCTATTGGAATATTTTCCAATCAATCCGACGGATTCAACTGCAACTGCAATTATTAATGTCCTCATGTGCCACATTTTTGAGATTTCCTCTTCAAGATCTTTGTATTTTGATAGTTTTTGAAGATCTTCAAAGATACATTACAACCTACAGAGACTGCCATATCAATATGAAAGAACATTCTGTTTTGGTCTATTTTTTGTGGTCTTTGATCACGATTTCTAGGTGATAAGCCCTGATTCTTCTGTCTTTGTGTGTTGTAAAGTCTCATAAAATTGATAGAGGTCCTGTCTTTGAAACCGGATCTGGATAATGTTCATACCAGTTCCTTGCAGTTGCCTTCCCAGTTGCATATTTTCCAGTGCATTTTATCATACTGAGTTTTATATTCAGTGGGTGCTAACACTGTGCAACCTGATACAAGATGGTCAATTGTTTCTGCATATTTACGTTTGGTAATTTCCAGTTTGCAAGAACTGGTCCTGCGCAGCAAGACTAAAACCTTCGGTTTCAGCTTTTACATCTACGTTATGTAACCACTTATTATTATTATTATTAATAATAATAATAATAATAATAATAATAAAAAGCTGTCAAAATACAAGGACCTTGAAATAGAAATCTCGAAAATGTGGCATATGGGAACATCAACAATCCCTGTTGTAGTTGGAGCCCTAGGACTGGTTGGAAAAGATTGCAGTAGACTAATTGAAGGGATTCCTGGAAGTCCATGCCTCAAAGAGATACAAAAAATTGTTCTGACAAGTACAGCCCACACTTTACGAAGGG